GAGGACTTACCTCGCCGCCATAGCTGGGTCTTGAAGCCAGCGACCTGCATGACAGGGGAGTGTCAGTCACCACCGACGGCAGGTGAGACTGGAGGCCGATATTCTTCTTCTTCCTTTCTTCTTCTTCTTCTTCTTCTTTGAGTGAGAGAGAGAGGTTACAGGCAGAGGTTACATTGGGCCATGAGGCCGAGGATCTGATTCAACATTTTGCGGCAGACATTGATTGGACATTTGGCAGGGAGACAATCTTTGGACTTCACTATCGCGATCTTGGTCATCACCCTCGCCTCCGTCTTCGTCTCGCCTCTGCCCCAATCTCCTCATCCGTGGTATCTTCCCATGTGCGTGCTCAAGGAGGGACCTTTCTTCCACGTATGCGCTCTCCCCTCTCTCTCACGTGTGGTGTATGATGGGGTGTTGCGTCAGTATCTGGCAGGTCAGGTCATATCTTTGAGTCTTCCGTTGTGCTGCATTATGGTATTTTCGTATGTATCTGGATGTGCATAGCTTGTTGGTGCTTTGCTGACGCTGCATTGTCCATCCGAGTCCGTTTTATCACTTTGCGGATTCTTGGCTCCATAAAGTCCATATACATCGCTCGATTGAGCATGTATCAGTTGGTATCGGAGCCACGCGAGTGAATCAGGACTATAGACCGGACGTGCAGACAGGGGGATCAATTGATCGGTCGGTTGATTGATGGATTGATCGATTGATTGATCGATCGATTGATTGATCGATTGATTGATTGATTGAATTGATTTGATTGATTGACTGATTGATTGACTGATTGATTGATTGATTGATAGATTGATCAATTGATCGACTGATTGATTGATTGATTGATTGATTGATCGACTGATCGACTGATTGATTGATTAATTAGCTAGGTTAACCTAATTAATTCGCATTTGTTATTTTTTACCTAAATTGTAGCAATTTCCATTTTTTTTTCTTTTTTCGAATTTCGGAATTCCTTCCTTGCACTAAAACGTTTTTCTGGAAATTGCGCATTAATTGGCAACTGAAAAAATCGATTTTCTTTATTTTCTGGAATTTTGGATTTTTCATTGCTTTGACGTTCCGAAATTCATATGTTTTTCAGTAAATCTCTTTTCACAGTTGTGTTTTGGGGATCCTACTTCTCAAAATTGGAAATTGCTGCGCGTACTCGCATCTGGAATATTCCATTTTTTGCAGTTTGGTGAGTTTTGCAGTTTGATCGCTTTTTTTTTTTTTTTTAAATCGTCTGATCTGCAGTCTGAAGTTCGACATATATTTTTTTTTAATTATTTTTGTTACTTCAAACTTTGGGACTTTGGGGATTGGGAGATCTACTGAACTTGCGATTTTGAAATCATTACTATTACTATTATTTTATGATTTAAAAAAATGCAAAGTTTGAACTTGTCTAATTTTGATCAGTGGAAGTACTATTGTTACCGCTCTCCCCTCCCATCCACTCCATCTCCACTGCCCCATTCTCTTCTCCCCTCTTTCCCTCTATCTTCTTCTCTGTTGTGGCATTGGTGAGTTGCTACGTCAGCAGGCCACATCAGTAGTGACATGTCAGCAACACGTCAGAGGACAGCAGTGCCATGACAGCAGCCGATGAAGTCACGTCAGCTGCTGATCAAGATGCGTCAGCAGCAGATAAAGCCACGACAGCCCCTGCCACCGGCTCCACACCATATGCCAGCCGTCACCTGATCACAGACGAGCGACATGGAGCAGAAGCAAGGGAAGACTATGAGGCGTATGAGGCCCGCATGTTGGATCAACCTGCTGAACGGAAGAAGCGGGCAGATGCGGCCACAGCCGCGAGGGAAAAGGAGGAGGAGGAGGCAGCAGAACAGCTTCGCCTTGCTGAGAGACAGCGAGTGGAGGACGCTGAGGCAGCAAAGAAGGCTGCAGACAAGCAACGCCAAATCTGCCGAGATGCGCTCTTTGAACTCGAGGGCGACATCGAGGAAGCAGCCGACGATTGGGGGGTGGCTGCCAGAGGAGAATATGCCACCGACGCTGTGCGCTGCATTGCACCCGCATTCGCACGTGTGATCGATCTGGTCGAGCAAGAGGTCATCCTCTGCGTCGACACGCTAGTCATGCAGCAGGCTCAGCTCATCGCCGACAGGCTGGAACAGCAGTCTGCAGCAGCTGCACCGGCCCGACCCTCGAACCTGGCTGATCGCGTGAACGTATTGGAG